TGCAGCTCCCTCCATCCAGCCTACCAGGGACTGCCCAAATCATCAAAGTTCTCTGAATCTTTGCCAAAGATTCGGAGAGCTTTGAATCAATTCAGACCTTTTAATTGGTCCCAATTCGATTTGGATTCAACGAGTCGGCCACCAAATCGGGCCGAATCTCCTCCAAATTGAATCACCACCTGAAGCTTGGCACAGCCCTAGTGCCTGTAGCACCCTGTTGGCTGCTAGAGGATCTGTGCACTCATAGTTGGAGGCGCAATGCCAGCCCAATCCTACAGGGTTGTTTCTTGTATTTGTGCCTTTTTCCTATTTGGCTTGTAGTCAATATTGGCAATTTTCTATCATGGGTGGTAGTCAGGGCAGTCATCTTTGGGTCCAACACCCAGGGCCTCAAGAATGCTTAATCTGCCCCTAGCTCTTAGCCTCAGCAGCCAAAAGGGGGCAGAGTCTTGATGTAGATATTATTGACAATGGTTAAGCCTTGTTACAGGCAAACTAGGGAGTGAGGAGCAGAACAGAGGGGCTCTTCAGTACACAGGCAACCAATAAAAAGGGAGTTGATAGAACATAGCCAGCTATTTAGAGCTAATGGCTATTTAGCGCTAATTACGATCCTTCCACTCACCACCTGGATGCCCTGCTCTCTGTGGGTAATTTTCTCCCTGACAGGCCTCATAACACTGCTGGATAAACTCTTTTGCCAGGTCCTCTTTGATCTGAAGAACCTTCAGCCTCCAGATATCAAAGTCCATCCCAGTCAGTGCCCAGCACCTTGTGACAATGTATTGCCCCTTCACAGAAGATAGGTCATGTTTTAAATTAAAATAATTATTTTTTATATTATTTATTTCACATTCAGTCCCATCTACAATTATATCCAAGTCCTGATCGCAACCTTGATCACAACACTGCTCCAGTTTTTGTGTACACTATACCTCAGTTGAATTCCAAACTAAAAGCTTGCCTAAGTACTGGGAACCCAGGTTACAAAACAGTGCTGAGGAACGCCTACACTTCAGTTTGGTGTCCAATTGTAACCGGGTTATGCCATAATTATATTGTAATTGGCTGGGTTTGATTACAGTGTAGAAGGACTTCTCTTCACATAATTAAGTCCTGTTTTGCTTTGTTTTACTTCATTTACCATGGATGAGAGTGCTACACCTTAATGAAGTTTCGGGGAAGCTGTTGCTTGCAGACCTTTGCCATACACATAAGGGGAGGTACAATAAATACAACTTAGGCCAGGAATTCATTTTTTCCAACTGGACAAGCACTGGGAAGGTATATGTAAAATATACAAGACTACATAAACAATAGCAAATGTAGAACATTAATTCACCATTGTTGCCACTCTAGTAATGCTAATGTAGACCAGGCACAGGGCTTTTGAAAGTTATGTTATCCTCTCAACCTGACAGTTACAAACAGGTATCTATGGATCATGACTGCCTTGGCCATCTCATATTGCTATGTGGGAGGAGGAAAAAGGCCAATTCTTTTTGATAAGATAAAGACCCTCTAACCTTGAGCTATCAAAATTTTCCCTGTCCAGTAACCAGCACACCTGTGAGGATTCATTGCTCCTTGAAGCAGAACTCATGAAGCAGGGGAGGAGGATTATGAAATAATGTACAAATGCATCCTGGTTAAATGATAGAGGAAAGGAGGACTTTGATTGTGGAAGGATGGGAAAGGGAGCCTCAAGGAAGGGTATATCACTGTGGAAAAGGGGATTGTATTATGGGAAAAGAGAGAACCACTGATGAAAGCAGGTTAGAAAACATAGTGATAAAGACAACAGTGCTCTGTTTTTCAGTAGATCCCCCTGCTGGAGCTGCCCTCTTAGTAATGCATGAAAAGGCACTTCCTGAGAAAGATTAGGGTTGACAGAGACTACATACACATGTTCAAAAGATCCAGAAGAATTCTCCTGGGTTTGTTTCCCTGGTAGGG